ATTTTTTTGTTTGGGTTTTTGGGTTACACCCAGCGATGCTCAGCGTCTGTTCCCTCTTGGAGCACTGTTCCAAGAGCAGCAGCAGCACACGGGGCTGCCCAGGTCAGGCACAGATAAGGGCAGCAGGTGTTTCTCTAAGGCCCAGGGTGTGCCCCCGGGCCGGTGTCTCCCCAACACCCTAACCCTCACTGGGATCAAGGATGTCCCCAGGGGGTCGTGCCAGGAGCAGCCCCCAGCCGGAAGCTCGCTCTGCTCCCCACATCGCTGGCCGTGGGAGGAGCAGGTGTTCTGGCCCCCGTGCGTCCCGCAGGGGGCAGTGGGTTAGATATGATGGGCTCCTGTCTGTGGCCTGTCCAGTGGCCCCAGTATGCCCTGGCCCCCACACTCTGTCTGCTCGGCTCTCTTACAGACCTTGGGCTCAGACTTACTCCTCACCTTGCTGGGTGGCTTTGGGTGAATGAAGGCACCTCTCTGGTCCTCAGGGGACCGCTGCACAAAATAAAGATACGAGAAAGTTGGGGTTCCCCAAGCAGACCCGTTGGCCCCCCAGGCCAACAGATCTGCCCAGCCCTCCGTGGGGGGAGGGCGGGGTGCTGTGATGCGGGGTGGTTCTCACGTGTTTCTGCGGGTGAAAATACAAGATACAGTCTGGCATGAAGCCGAACGGTGCACCCTCCCGCGTCGTGAAGCGCTAGATACGCTAAAGGGTTACAATCTCTGTTATAAAACGTCATGGAACTGATGACGTGATTTAAATTAAGATTCGTAGCTCGGCTTTTAATATTTATTGTTCTTTTGTTTGTGTGTGTGGGGTCGCACCTGGTGATGCTCAGGGGTTGTTCCTGACACTGCACTCAGGGATCACCTCTGGCGGTGCTCAGGGGAACATGGGGATGTTGGGGATCGAACCCGGGTCAGCCACCTGCAAGGCAAATGCTCCCCCCCCCCCGTCCTACCGCTCCGGTCCCAGTCTTGATTTTACTCACTGGGGGGTGAATTTGGGTCCCCAGCAGTGGTGCCCGGGGGTTCTTCCTGGTCTGTGCTCGGGAGTCACCCTCGGCACTGCTCAGGGGCACCTTATGCCGTGCTGGGGCCTTGAACCATGGTTGGGGCCAGGCAAGTGCCTTCGACACCATCTCTCCAGCTCCTGCGGCTTGTTCCAGGACCTGCCACGTGTGGCCCGGAGCTGCAGAGTGGGGCCGGCCCACTCAGCGTTACCAAGTTCAGAAACGGGCTCGTTAGCCCACGGTCCTCCTTAGCCGGGGAAGATTCTCCCGGAAACCCGGTGCTGCTTCTGCGCCCTGGCGTGTGGCAAGGACCCGAGCGTGTCGGCCCGAGACGAGGCAGGTCCCGAGACTGGTCCCCGGGTTCAGCCCAGGGCTGGGAACCAGGGTGGCGGTCCTCTCTTCTTGGGACCGAGACTCCGCAGGCCTGGAGACCCCCCTAGAACATCTTCCTTCCTGGACTCCTTTCCGGGTTGGGTGAGATTCGTGCTGGGCCCTACTTGCTGGGCTTTGCGTTCCCCGTTATCCCCCCCCCAAACTCTTCCTCCCCTTTCCCTGAGCTCTGCCCTCTCTGGGGAGCTGCTTAAGCTTTGGGCAGAAGAACTGTGTGAGGGCCGGAGTGATAGTACAGCAGGGAGGGGGTTTGCCTTGCACGCCGCTGACACGGGTTCGATCCCCAGCATCTCATGTGTCTCCCAAGCACCGTCAGGAGTAATTTCTCAACTCAGAGCAGGAGTAACCCCTGAGCACCGCTGGGTGTGACCACCCCTCCCCCCAAAAAGAACTGTGTGAGCTCAAAGGGCAGAGCCAGTTTCCTCTCCTCGACCAGCTCAGAGATCAGATGGGCTCCACCCCCTTGAGGAAGGAGTTTGTTTCTCTCTCCCCGGGGGCAAATGAATCCCGGGGATCAGCCTGAGCGGGAGGGGGTGTCCTTCTGCCTTGGATCCAGTCTCTGCTAAGCAAGGATTTTTGTTGTTGCTGTTTCCATTGATGTCCCCCCCAGAGGACATTGGGTAAACCAAGTCAGGGCCTCGTACCACTGCCTGCCAGGACAGGCTCCCGACACCCACCCGAAGTCTTTGTTCAGGCGTCCCCTACCCAGGAACACGGCCACGCCCGCACGCACACACCCCAGCTTCTCAGGAAGGAGCAGGTTGGGCCGCCGGACCAGGAGCGGCCAGTTGGCAGCCCGAGACCCGGGCCGGGACGGGAGAGGCGAGAAGCTCCTGCAGAGCCTTGCCAATCAGTTTGTCGGCATCACCTAATCAAGGGCTCGGGCTTAGAGCATCCCGTGGAAATTAAAACGGGGAGAATTGCTGATTTCTTGGTGATTTGTAGAATCGAAAGAATTCTCTCCTGATTAGCCGGGGTCTGTACGGGCAACACCCGAGAACTTGGATGATCACTGCTGAGGAGGGAAGGCTGGGATCCTGCAGGGCTGTCCTTCTCGGCCTCAGCCCAGACCCAAGGGCCCGTTTCCTTTCCCCGACTCCTTTCTGCACCCCAGCCCCCCACCCCTATCTCTGTGGCCCCAGGGTGCCATGTCACCAACGACAGGAGAGCAGAACCTCTTCAGTTCTGGGAAAGGTCTCCGGACCCGTCCAGTGGCAAGGAGCCAGAGGGGATCAGCAAAACTGTTTCCTGGCTTCCCCGTGCTCGGAAATCCACTCTCTGGGTTCAGTCCAGCGGGGAGACTGGGCCAGAGGGACGGGGGCCGCAGGGACAGTGAGTGACACGGCCGTGCTGGTGCCTAGAGAGGGGCACAGGGTGGACGCGGGCCGTTAGCTGGGCTGGCCGCCGCATGCCGGGGCGCTCGTGGTACCCCCACTGCAGGCTGCCAGGAGCTGCCCACTTTTGTGGCCTCGTCCTCTGGACCTTGCCCAAGTGCCAGGGTCGGTCAGGGCGGGAAGTGACCTGTGCTGTGTGGCTCGGCGTCGGTTCAGGAAGCTTCACCAGGGGTCTGGAGACTGGGAAACGGAAGTCAGCAGGGGATACGAGGCCGCTCATTCTCTGCCCCAGGCCTCAGAGCAGAAGCTGTGTGTGTGTGTGTGTGTGTGTGTGTGTGTGCGCGCACGTGCCTGTCTGACATGCCTGTCTGTGTGTGTCCATCTGTGTGGTGTGTGTGTGTCTGTGTGTGTCCATCTGTGTCTCTATCTGTGTGGTGTGTGTGTCTCTGTGTATGTCCACCTATGTGTGTCCATCTGTGTGTGTTCATCTGTGTTGTGTGTGTGTCTCCATCTGTGTGTGTCTGTCAGTGTCCGCCTGTATGTGTGTGTGCATGCGTGTGCTTGTGTGTGTGTGTGTGCTTGTGTGTGCGTGCATGCCCATTGGCCACAAAAGCACATGCCTGCACCCACGTCCCTCGGGGTCTGGCCCGGGCCCCGTCTCTGTCAGAGAAGGCCTAAGTGACGCGGGACTGCAGGGCCCGCAGAGCAGAGCTGTGACCCCGCCAGGCCAGCCCAGGACCACGTGGACACTGGAGCACTGAGGTCTCCTGCTTCCTGCGGGACTCGCCCCTGGAGTGCTCGGTGACCCTCCCTCTAGCACCACTCCTCACCAGGCTTTGGGGACTCCGAGGCCCAGGTGTTTCCAGGACTAGGGACAAGGGACAGAGGTGCTGTCCCCAGATCTGCTCCCGCTCGCGCTCCCATAAACCAGGGCCTGGGCTGGAAGCACCAGCCTGGCCGGGGGTTCCATCCGGGCGCTGGGGGGATGCAGCCCCCACACAGACCCCAACCCCCCACGTGGAGCACAAAGCCTTTCCCACCCGGGTCTGAGCCTACAGGTGACTCACGGCCCCTCAGGAGCTCCTGTGGGGAGCACTGGCCCTTTAAGGTGGGCTTGGACTGTCCAGAAAGTCCACCTGAGAGCCCCGCAGGCGGGTCTGGTGACCTGACGTGGGCAGCGACAGTGTGGACATCTCTTGGTGGACACTTTAGGGGGGAAGTGGGGTCATCTGAACACAGCCTCAGGCCTGCCCAGGTTTTTCCCTTTGCCCCCAGCCCCTTTGTTAAACCGACCAGCGTTGCCGTGGGCTGGTGAGGCCAGGGGAGGGGGCTGGAAGGGGCTCAGGGCTGGAGCCCACCTGGCTGCAGAACAGCACCAGCCCCGGAAGCCCCCCGAGCGGGCCCCGCCAGCAAGGCTCCGGATGGGCCCCTCTAGAACAGCCCACACTGCCTCTCTTGGGGAGCAGGTGAGGGTTCGGGGGAGTCCAGGGCCCGGCGCTGTCCCCCTGCAGGCCGCGTCCAGCCCGGGTCCTGGTGAAAATACACGAACCCCGGTGATGCGAGCCCCGCGTAGCCCCACCCGGACCCCAGCACTGTGCTCGGGAGTGAGTGTGAGGACACGTGGCCCTGCTGCCGGCTGCGCCTGGGGCTGAGTGTGCATGTGTCTGCCCCGTGGGTGCTCCGATCCATCCCCGCCATCGCGGGAGGCTTGCAGGGTGTGCAGTGGATGCTAGGCCGTCAGACCCCGCTTTGAAGGGGCTCTGGGGGAAGAGGCCGGGATGCTTCCGCGCCATCACCTGGGGCTCCCTCCGTTTAGGAAAGCGACCACGGTGGGTGGTGTCTGTGGGCATAGCTAGAAGGCCCACCCGAGGGGCGCTGGTGTGGGTTAGACTCTCTCCACCACCACTAACACGACCTGTCTCTGCAGGTGTTGGGAGGAATGACCTCTCTGTCTCTCTCTATCTCTCTCTGTCTCTGTCTCTTTGTCTCTGTCTCTCTCTCCTCTCTCCTCTCTCTATCTCTGTCTCTGTCTCTCTGTCTCTCTCTCTCTTTCTCTCTCTCCCTCTCTCCCAGTTCTTTCCTTGACTTCTGGGTGCAGAGATTCCCATCAGGCAAAGCGGCTGTCCAGTACCGTCTTTCTGCCTTCCCAGCCCGTCACCTTCCCACGTGGCCTGTGGCCGGCTCCGCACGTGTTCATGCCCACATGGGACCTCTCAGGGTGGACAGAACGAATGGTCTCAGCCCAGGTGGAGACAGGCGCGCCTCTCTCTCAGTACATGAGGTCCGCGGCCACGTTAGGCGTCTCCGCATCCTTGGATTTTGTGAAAGGGAACTGAAACCCGGCCAGTCGAATCAGGAGCCCGTTGAGAATGTGAACGAAGAAGCAGATGAAAACGACCCAGAAGGAGGTGGCGTAGCTCTCGCTCTGAGTCCGGTAGGCATAAGTCCCTTCCTTGTAGTTGGTGATCTTCTCCGACAGGTGATGGATCTTCACCTCCGAGGCAAACAGTATCATGACAAGGCTGCCGCAGGAAGCTGCATAGAAGAGAACAGACAGGCCGTGTGGGAGCGTGGGCAGGGGTATGGTGGGGGGAGCAGACTCACACCAGCATTTCCCCGGGGAAGGGGTGCGAGGAAGAGAGAGCCTCTTTTTATTTTGCGTCACACCCAGCGATGCTTAGGGGTTCCTCCTGGCTCTGCACTCAGGAATCACTCCTGGCGGTGCTCGGGGGACCATCTGGGATGCTGGGAATAGAACACAGGTCGGCCGCGTGCAGGACAAACACCCTACCCGCTGTGCTATCGCTCCAGCCCTGGAAAAACGAGTCTTAACCTCCACTTCAACCTCGTTGGCATCTGTTTATAGAAAATGGGGCAGGTCAGATGGCACCTCTGACCTGGGCTGGCACCGCGTGACTGAGGGACGAGGAAGGCCAGTGGCGGGTCAGGCTGAGCTGACACGACAGAGCTTGCAAGGTGCCCACGAGTGGCTTGGGGAGCAGGGAAATGGCTCTGGGTGGCTGCTGTCCAGTGCTGCAGGAGAGGCAACTGACTGTTTCTCAGTGATTCGCAGGTCACTCGGCCTCATCGGCACACAGTGTGGCCGCGCATAAGGCCATGGATGGGAGCCGACTGCTGCAGCTTTGCAGGAAGTGGCAGAAGGCAAGGAAGGCTCGCGATAAGAAGGATGTTTTGTATTCACAACTGGCCCGGATTTGGGGCTATTTTGTGTTCTCTGGTCGCTGTGCTAATGAGGCTCCGTGTTGGGGGGCCTCTGTCTGCACAAGCTCCTGGCCTGCCCTTACAGCCCCCTGTTCCTTACTGCCACCGAACTTGGTGCAATGGCTGGAGCTCCCGCAGACACCTTGGGCCAAGTGGCCTCAGAAAGGCGGTCGCCTGATATTAAGGAAGATCGAGAAGGTGGGCGTGGGGGCGCCCTAACCCTCAGCTAGTCCCTCATAGGCTGGCCGTGGCGCTTACGCTCGAAGCTTTCAGGGGAGAGGGGGGTGAGCCTCTTAGTTCTTTGGCCTGTTCTAATTACCCCCCCACTGGCCACTTGCTCGATGGGATTGATTGTGTCCTGGTCTCCGCGTCCCCTTAGCTCTAGGGGGATTTATCTGGGCCCTTCCTGAACAAGGAGACTGGGATGCTGCAGGCTCAGGTGGGCAGCTCAGGGGCGTAGGGCGGGAGGCGTGGGGCCCACCACAGCAGGCGTCCATCAGTGGACACTCGCTGACACGTCCTTGGGGCGACCCAGGTTTGAGCCAGAGCCACAGGACAGTGGGGAGGGCGCTTGCCTTGCACGGGGCTGACCTGGGTTCAGTCTCTGGCATCCCCTATGGTCCCCTGAGCACGGCCAGGAGTGATTCCTGACTGCAGAGCCGGGAGTAAGCCCTGAGCATGACTGGGTGTGACCCCCACCCCCACATAAAGTAAATGAATATATAAATAACCCATTTAGGCTCCGGACTCAGGACCCGCCCCCCATGTGAAACCAGCCCATGACTGAGGCCCCTGTTCAGTCTCTAATAGCCACGGTGCTCACTGAGCACTGTAGCACCAACCCAGATGCTACGTGGTGGACCTCCCTGTGCCTTTCTTTTATTTTTTTTTTGGGGGGGGGCAGTGTGTTGTTTTTGGGCCACACCAGGCAGTGCTTGGGACTACTCCGTGCTTCCAAGTCATTCGTGGTAGTGCTCAAGGGACCATCAGGGGTGCAGAGGGTCCGAACCAGCATTGGCTGCTGCCTGCAAGACTAGTTAGTCTTCCCCCAGGTCCATCTCCCCGCCCTCTCCCTGGGATTGTAACATCCTTCCCCCTGCGAGCCCCTCCCATTAGCCCTTCACCCCAGCCTGCCCCAGACACCCCAAACAGGGACGTTGGCCCTTGTCCAGGTCTCGTAAAGGCCTTCTACAAACGCAGGTACTGCAGCCCCCAGGGCCTGGCCGGGAGCTTCCCGGGGCTCCTTCGCCTTCACTCCTCAGCCCCGGGCGCAGGAGGGGACTTGAACAACAAAGAAAAGTGGTTCTGGGGCTGGAGCGATAGCTGGTAGGGCGTTTGCCTTGCACGCGGTGGACCCGGGTTCGATTCCCAGCATCCCACAGGGTCCCCTGAGCACTGCCAGGGGTAATTCCTGAGTGCAGAGCCAGGAGTGACCCCTGTGCGTTGCCGGGTGTGACCCCCCCAAAAAGAAAGAAAAGTGGTTCTGAGGTGCTGGGGGCCCCCGGGGGGGCTCCTTTCTCTGGAGAGAAGCTGTGGACGCTTCTAGGGAGCTGCTGTGCTGTGACCCCTCCCCGCCCCCACAGCCAGGTCGAGGCTGCGTGGGGGAGGCTGGGCTGAGCAGGAAGGGGACCCCCCTTTCCTCCGCCCCGATAATCCGCGGATGGAGCTTTCGGGAGCCTCAGCCCACGAGGCCTTTGTCAGCAGACCCGGTGCCTGTTTCTGCATCCCCAGCTTAAAGCCGGCGCGTGCTCCCTGGCGTGGCCTTCTTATCCCTTCATTGTGCAAAGGCAACAAAGGGCCTCGGGGCCGCGTGCCACGTTCCTTTGCTCGGTGCCCGCTCGCCCGTGTGCTTAGCTCCCATGAAACCCGCTCACCGGGAGCTCGCCCTGTCGGCCCGGCAGGCCGGGAGCTGCAGATCTCCTGCCGAAAGTCCGGGTGCTGGGGGGCTCAGGACGCCCCTCCTGCCAGGGTTTCGCATGCACCAGCACCCACAACCGTGCAGACCACATGCAGGGGTGAGGGAACGCGGGAACCCCCGTCCATCCCCCCACTTCCATTCTGCAGGAGACCCCCAGCCTCCGCTCACACTCAGTGATGGGGTGCCGGTGGGTGTAGGGGGCTCGTCAGACATGAAGCCATGGAGGCCTACTGAGGTAGACTGAGGGCCCCTCGACCAGAGGTCACCGGGAGGGGTCCTTGGCGTGGCCTGCCTGCTCAGCGCTGACTCCCAGCTCTGTGCTCAGGGCGAACTCCTGACTGTGCTCAGGACTGACTCCTGGCTCTATGCTGGGGGCTGATTCCTGGCTCTGTTCTCAGGGCTGACTCCTGGCTCTGTGCTCAGGGCTCACTCCTGGCAGACTCCAGGGACCATGTGGGTTGCCAGGGATCAAACCCGAGGTGGCCACATGCAAGGTGAGCGCCTTGACCCTATGTTGTCACTCAGACCTTTCCATGTCACTGTTTTCAGAGCTGCTAACACCCACCGTGGACATGCCCTGGCCCCTTCCACCACTCCTGTCACTGACCCTCCCTCCTTCCCCTCATTTTCCTTCCTTCCCTATCTCCCTTCCTTCCTTCCTTCCTTCCTTCCTTCCTTCCTTCCTTCCTTCCTTCCTTCCTCCCTCCTTCCCTCCCTCCCTCCCTCCCTCCTTCCCTCCCTCCTTCCTTCTCTCCTTCCCTCCTTCCCTTCTTCCCTCCTTCCTTCCTCCCTCCCTCCTTCCCTCCCTCCTTCCCTCCCTCCCCCACCCCAGGCCATCTTTATTGCATATAATGCCAACAATACCAAGGGAAGTTTCGAGACTTTTCCCGGAAGAGGGGACAGTTCCGACACAGCCCCTGTGCCCTTTGGCTTTGGTTCTCTCTTCTCTTCACTTTGGGGGTGCTGTGGGGCTCGCTGGGTGTTTGGGGGGACATGCATGGGCAGTGGGGCACCCTGGGCTCGGCAGACAGGAAGGGCAGAGCAAGGACACCCACGTGCTCACCCAAGGGCTGGTGGCCACCTGATGTCCAGCCAGGCCACTGCAGCTCCCCCCCTCGCAGTCACCTGGGCACCCGAGAGCCCCGGCTCAGCTGGGGCCCCGGCCTGTCCCTGCCTGTCCCCTCTGTTGTCCAGGGAGAGCCCCGCGGGAGCCTGCCCAGCCTTGCCAGGGCCTAGAGCCAGGCCCGCGACCAGGGGCTGAAAGAGCATCATCTTCTTCTAGTGGCGCTGGGGCTTGAACCCAGGGCCTCACGCCCGGGCTGGTTTCTCCCGTGCGAGCAACGTCCAGCGTCTTTCTCACACCAAGCCCGGCGGGTTTGACTTCCTGCCCATCTGGCTGGTAATCATGCTCTTTTTTGTGTGGGGGGGAGAGTGGTAATGATTTTGATGACCTAGTTAATTTCTGACGGAAGAGAACAGCGAGATCTGGAGCTGTCCCCGTGAATTATCAGTCAGTGAGGGAACATTCATGATGCACTCGGCGTCTGAAAGGGGCGTTGGCCTGTAATGGGCAGCAGAAGAGTGTGCTCGGGCCATGCGGCCAATGCACCTTGTGTTTGTGTGTGCAGGGGAGGGGGGGGTCTCTGTCTCTCTGTCTCTGTCTCTCTTTGTCTCAGCATCAAGAGCTGGTATGCAGGGTGCCGCCACTCAAGGCTCCAGGGAGCTGGGGTGGGGGGAGGGGCAGTGGGCGGACTGGGGCGAGGCTCCAAATTTCTGGGGGTCTGGGTGGGGTCTGGGAGCTGGTCTCTGGGCAAGTCCCCCCGAGGCTGCAATGGGTGGGCCCCCCACCCACTCGCTGCTTTTCAGAGCCTCTGCTCGGAAGTCCTGGATCCCCCATTAAAACAGTGCAGCTTTGTGGCGAAGAGGTAGTGCGGAGGGGAGGGCAGGGCCTTGCGTTGCTCCCAGCCAGCCCTGGGGGGTTTGATCCCTGCACCACAGAGGGTCCCCAGAGTACCGCAGGGGTGGCCCAGAAGCTGGAAGTGAAGGTAAATAAAATAGTGCTGATGTGGGGCGGGAAAGTACAGGGACGAAGCTCTCGCAGTCCGTGACCTTGGTGGGTCTTGGCACCACCAGGAACAGCCCTGAGCACTGGGGGGACCCCAGACACCAGCTCTTGGTGCTGCAGAGAGAGAAGAGACGGAGCTAGAGAGGCAGAGACCAACACCCACCCTCCTCCACTGGCCCTGCCCCTGCCAGCAGGGCTGTTTGGTAGCCTGGCTGTCCTGGGTGAGTTCGTTCACGATCACCCCAGTGCCCTGTTCGGTCTGGGGGTGACCCAGACCCACTCCTAGACCGGACCTTCGGCAGAATTCAGCCTTGGTTGGGGTGTCGTCCCCCACCCCTTGGTCTGTGCCCACCTCCTGCCCCACCCAGTGCAAAGCCCCTGGGCTGTCGCTTTCTTAGCCCGTCTGCACGCGAGTTCTAACTTGTCTCCCCATGTGTCCTGCTGGCCTGGCTGGAGGCCGCTGTGCCGGACAGGTGGGCCTGGAAGGAAGGTTCAGGTCCGACTCTCAGCGTGGTCATCCGGGGGCTGTCAGGCGTGATTGTCAAGTCAGGAGAAGACGGCAGGACCCCTTTTCTGAGTGAAGCAGGAGTTTGATTGACACAATGGGGGCAGAGGAAAGACCCACCCCGACCCCCAAGAAGCATATTCAAGGCAGTCACTGGACCAGGGCGGGGGGCACAGTGACCCCTGAGGTTGGAGCTGACCTGAGGTGGTGTGGGCAGTAGTCATGGTCCCCTCCCCTGGGTCTGGAGGTGGCGGGGGTGCTACTCAGAGAAGGATCTGGAAGGACCAGCCCAGCCCTGGCCCTGTTCCTGGAAAAACCACAAAGTGGAGTTTGCGCGAACAGGGAGTGGGGTGCCACGAAGGACCCCACACCCAAAGTGGGCCGCCCGCGTGCGTGTCTAGCTGGGAGCTCTTTGCCATCTCGCCTTCACCTGGGTTGACTGAGGCTTCTTTTTCTTCTTTTTCTTTCCTTTTTCGGGACGATGAACTAATTTCTGGGTTTAGAGTTTTCCTCCCCACTAAATTCTGCTGCGTCTCCAAAGGCCTGAATCCAGCAGCTCGGATATTTGGTGAATCATTGGCATTTGGGCTTTAGGGGTAATTTTTTTTTTTTTTTTGCCGAGGGATAATGAATAAATGAATGCATGTTGTCAGGTGTTTGGAAAGTGTACAAAGTGTAAGAAAAAATGAGTTACCCATCATTTTACCATTCAGAGATTAACCATTACCACAGTTGTCGCTATAGATGAGTTAATGTATATCTCTGTAGTCAGACAGATATAGATATATAGGTATAAAATATTCAGGTCTCTATACAACTATATGTTTTTACATCTGTTTGTGGAATGCCTGTATCAATTCTGTAAATATTATTTGTGTGTGTGTGTGTGTGTGTGTATACACACACACACACACATATATTTTCCTTTCTGGGTCACACCCGGTAATGCACAGGGGTTACTCCTGGCCCCACACTCAGAAATTACTCCTGGCATTGCTCAGGGGACCATATGGGATACTGGGAATCGAACCCAGGTCAGCCGCGTGCAAGGCAAACACCCAACCCACTGTGCTATATTTTATATTTTTATGTTTATATGCACATAACCAAATTTGGTTTGTTTCCAAAATCATACTCCTAAAATTTAACTCTGCCATCTGAGTAGTTTGATGATCTCTCCTTCAAACATACTTAATGTAGAGATGGGATCCCGTGGTCTAAAAGTTTGCCCTGCATGCAGCCAGCCCGCAGGCGACCCTCAGCACCAGGACTGATCTCTGAGCACTGTTAGTTCTAAGAACCGAGACACGCTGCATCATCCTCACTCTGCACTGCTGCTGGCCTGCCCCCGTCCTGCCCTCTGGCCCCTTAGAAAGAGGCGGAGATTAGACTCAGACCCCAGGTGCGCTGCATTGATCGTCCATAGAGATGCCATCGAACTTGACATTTGGGTCGAGCTGTCACTCGGTGTTGGATAACGCTGGGTTGTCTTTGCTGCTTCCACGGGAGGGGGGGGGCTTAAGGTTCATTGAGCCACTCCCACAACAGTGCAACTGAGGCACACCCAATTCCACCAGGCACTAATAATCCTACTTGCTTTTCTCTTTCCTTCATGTCATTCAATGTCCTTTTTGTACAGACACAGGACGACAATTGATGCTATGCTATGTGACATGGGAGTTAGTTGACTCCAAAATAATATTTACTCCTAGGCATCGTAGTGACTTAAGCCTCAGTTGCCCTGAGTTCCTAGCACTCCCAGAGCAGGGTACCAACGAGGGACTGGATGGACCCAGGGCAAGCTGTGAGCTGCCCTGGCATCGAAATGGGCCAGGCCAGGAACCACAATACTTAACTCTAAGTTAAGAGCACAGTCATGGCCAGTTTGGCGCCTTCAAGGACACACTTGGTCTTCAGCTCTTTGAAGAGTTTTGTCCTTACCTGAAATGAAGCTCAGAAGGTACAAGCCGAGGGGCCCATGCAGCGTCTCGAAGGGCTTGCCGAAAGCGTTGTACATGAAGAAGGCCGTGCCCACCATGGTCAGGACGATGAGGGCCAGCGAGAAGAGGATGACATTGACGTGGACACTCACCGGAATGGCCTTGAGCAGATCTGGGAAGACTGGGGGGGAGGGGGGAAAGCAGACCGGGAGAAATGTGCTCAGTGGCGGGCAGCTGGGGTCTGCCGGAGCTGGCCCGGGTCCGACCAGCACCCCGTATGGTCCCTGACGGGAGTAAGCCCTGAGCACAGCCGGGTGCAACCCCCAAACCAAACCAAACCAAACCAAACCAAACCAAAACAACACAAAAAGATAAAATAGATCTTTCTCTTTCCCCTTAACTTCTGAAATCAACGTATCTTTCAGATAAATACATTCTCACTCATTTGTGGGAGATTAACAAGAGTGTTGACGTCTGAGCTTTATTTAAAAAAAAAATAAAAGTCGCTATAAAAATGAGCAAAGGGGGCCTTTGAGAGGGACTTTGTTTCTGCCTTGGGTCATTTATAATTCTGAAATCACCGGGGACTGACTCCGGAACCTGCAGGCATCTGTGTGGACGCGCAGACCCGGCCTGGCGTTTCTCGGTGGCCGTCTTTGTTGCTCTCTCAATCTGTCTGACGTGGTGGAGGTGGGTTCCGACTGGGGCGATCTGGCCAGGTCTGCACCACTCGAGCCTTTTCTGCATCCTTTGCCAGGGCTCCAGGCTCACCCCACAGCCCAAGAATGGGGTGTTTGCACTGAACTTCTCTATTTTCACGTTGCACAAACTGTGGGAAAATCATTTCTGGTGAGGCCAGAAATATTTTCCACTTAGAAAACGACGCCAAATCTATTTCGAGATTTCTGTGTTCGGGGGCAAGTTTTTCTTACTCATAGAGGAAATGCAGTGCTTTGTGAGCGGGTTGTGGGAGTGGGACCCCGGGGTGGGGGAGGGGTGCAGACCTGGCCGTGCTCGTGCTCATCTGGAGACGCCAAGTGCCTCTAATTTCCTACCCCAGACCACCGTCCAGTGACTGCTTGATGCACCTGCCCAGGGCCAGGAATACGGGTGTGTGTGAGAGAGAGAGAGAGAGAGAGAGAGAGAGAGAGAGAGAGAGAGAGAGAGAGAGAGAGAGGTGGAGAGAGAGGGAGGGAGAGAGGGAGAAAGATTCAAATAAAATAAATAAAATAAAAAATAATAAATGTCCCTTGGAGGGGCCAGTGACATAGTACCCAGGTCAAGGCACTTTCGTGGCATGGGTCTGACCTGCTTCCGTCCCTGGAATCCCAGATGCCCTCCCCCCACCCCTGAGGGGTGATCCCTGCCACAGAGCCAGGATTAAGCCCTGAGCACTCCAGGTGTGGCCCTTCAAAGCCGAAGCAAAAGGAATCAGATAAATACATAAAATACCCCATTTTGCAAAGCTTCCCGTGACTGTTCCAGAGTAGAAGAGATCCCAGAGATGTGTTAAGAGAATGTAGCCTATGACGGTTGTTTGCATTTATGGTTTGTGATTTGGAAAGAGACTTTCTTGAGCTGACCAGGGGAACATGGCCTGGATAGTAGATATTGTCTAGGACTGTCCTTCCTGCTTCTCCCTCCCCCTCCCCTCCCCTCCCCTCCCCACCCCCACCCTCCCTCCTGTGGCTAGCGTAATTTCAGACGGTGTCCTTGGCTATGGCAAGAAGTGGACAGTCCCTTGGATGGCATTGGGAGCTGTGGAACCAGGAGGTAGATCCGTCTGCTTTTATTTTATTTTATTATTATTGTTTTTTATTATTTTTGGGGGTCACACCCCGCGATGCACAGGATTTACTCCTGGTTCATGCACTCAGGAATCACTCCTGGCGGTGCTCGAGGGACCATATGGGATGCTGGGAACTGGACCTGGGTCGACCGCGCGCAAGGCAAATGCCCTACCCGCTGTGCTATTGCTCTAGCCCCCGCTGCTCTTAGAGGTTGAGAATTGCTACACGTGGGAAGGCTCTGAACAGTCTTACCTGGGGAGGGCCTGCCATGAGCCCAGCAAGCCCTGCAGACTCGCCCGAACGCTGGCAGGTGGCCGGGGTTCATAGCAGGAAAAATGTTATCTTTGGGCTGGAGAGATAGGAGAGTGGGCCTGACGCTTGCCTTGCCTGGGGCTGACCAGGTTTGATCTGTCCCCGACCCCTGCCGGGAGCGACCCCTGAGCTCGGAGCCAGGAGTCAGCCCTGAGCATCGCTGGGTGTGCCCCTCCTCTGCCATCTTGCACACCCCCTCCCCCCCAGCAAAGGAAAAATGCAAAGGAAGGAGGGGTTCGCTGTTCACAGTGGCAGCCCCAGCTACTGGCTCTCCCTGTCTCCTGCCTCTGCGCCTGTCCCTCTGCCCGGGAGCCAGTGTCCCTGGGCTCCATCTTCCCAGCCCGCCGACTGTCCCTCTCCTCACCATTCCCGCCCCCCAGATGTCTGCAGAGAACAGCGGGAGTGTGGCCATCGCCAGAATGACCTCCCGGGGGCTGGAGTGATAGGACAGCAGGCAGGGCATTTGCCTTGCATGTGGCAGACGGGGTTTGATCCCTGGCATCTCATACGGCCCTCCGAGCACTGCCAGGAGCAATTCCTGAGTGCAGAGCCAGGAGTAACCTCTGAGCACTGCTGGGTGTGACTCAAAAAGACCAAAAAATAGCCCCCGGGCTGCGGGGTCTTCCCTGCCCCCGGTCCCTGCTCCTGGCGCTTCTCGGCCTTGCCTTCCTGCTGTAGCTGCCCCCGAGGCTCGTGCAGCCACCAGATCACCTGGTCACAAGGTCCCATCACCTGCCTTGCTTTTATGTTCCTATTTTTTTTGGAGGGGTGGTGCCTGCCCGGCAGTCCCCGGGGAGCCCAGAGCTGCTTGGCCAGCAGGATGGATGGTCCTGGGTCCTGCTCAGGTCCGCCGGAGGGTGCAGAGCTGCTCAGGCCCAACAGCGAGGCAGTGTGGGGGGCGGGGAGGGCACCAGGACCGTCCCCGGTGCTGGACGGGTCAGGGAGGCGTCCAGCTGGGCCTCTCCCAGGCAGGGTGCCCGCCCCAGCCCCGCTGCTGCCGCCCGGCTCCATGCTCTGGGTTCGGAAGCAGAAGGTTGTGCACCCCCAACACCTGCATTCCCGTCCAGCTCCACGTGCAGCGACCCGCCCACAAGGCCACACCTGCTGTCCCCTGCAGGCCCAACCGCGTGCCCCAGTTGACAACCCAGCTCCTGCAGGACCGACCTCCTGAGACCCCCCCCCACCCCCAGGGGTGACGCAAGCTGCGTCTTGCCTCCTGCCAACTACAGATGCGAGGCACAGCTGCTGGACAGCGGGACCGGCCCCAGTCGTTTAATAGGTGCAGAGTCTGCCAGACAACCAAGGGTCTTGAGCCTCTTTTTTGTATGTGTGTACTTGCTCCATATACATGTGCGTGTGTGTCTGTGTGTGCGTGTGTGTCTGTGTGCGTGGCATGTGGGTAAGTGTATGTGTGTGCGTATGTGTGCATATGTGTGTATGTGTGTGCATGTGTATGTATGTGTATGTGGGTGTGGGTGTGTGTGCGTGCATGTTTGTGTGCATGTGTGCATGTGTGTATGTGTGTTATGTATGTGTGTGTGTTTTGTGTGTGTACATGTGTGTTTGTGTGTTGTGTATGTGTGTGTATGTGTGTGCGTGCGTATGTGTGTGTGTATGTATACATCCCAGCAATCCCATCCATCATCACTACCATCATCATCATCATCATCATCATCATCATCACTTCTGAGGTGATTTAGAGTCATTTCTTTTCTTGGTTCTTTTCGGATGCTGCACACCTGACCGCAATGCATCTGGAAATTCTGGCAGCACGGCGAGGGGGGGGGGGTGCTGCAGACAGAGGAGCTGCCAGGCTTGTGCTCGGCACATGCAGGGCAGCAGGGGTTCGGACCCTTGACCAAGAGTTCCGTGCTCGCAGGCACTTGCAGGGCTTTTGCTGTGGGTTACCCCAGTTTCCCCGGGTCGTGGCCGTCTTCCCCGGGCTGGATACAAGCCGCTCAGCAGAGCAGCAGCTCACGGCGATTTTCCCCAAGCCTGTGGCTCCCCTCCGCATTCCCTTAGCGCCGTTTGAAGCGAGGTTCTTGTGTGAAGTCTCATTGACCAGTTTTTCTTTTGGTCTCCTTTTTCTGATGTCACATCTTAGAAGTCTCTGCCACAAATACCTTCTCCAATGTTTTACTTCTGGAGTTCGTTTTGTTTAGGCTTACATCTAAGTCTGTGATCCATTTCGACGTGTGTGTGTGTGTGTGTGTGTGTGTGTGTGTGTGTGTGTTTGAAGATTCAGATTATTTCCCTCCCTCCCTCTCTCCCTCCCTCTGTCCCTCCCTCCCTCCCTTCCTTCTTTGGTTGTTTCTTAGCAGAACCCAGATTTGACACGTCCCTGGCAGTCCCGTGCCTCTGTGTTTGTCTACCAGAATTAAAAGCGGAGCCGCACAGAAATCTGTCTGCAAATGTTTGCAGTGGCTTTGTTCACCTTTGCCAGAGCCCTGGAAGCAGCCCAAAACGGCCATGCTTCACATGCCAGGGTAAATGGACAGAGGTGCACAGGGGGCCGATAAAAAGCTACTTAGTAACAAAGGGAAGCTCTGGATGACTGTGAAATGCATCCGCTAGTGAGGAGCAGCCAATCCAAACGTTGCAGGTTGTTAGTTCATCTCTCTGTCGTTCTGGAAAAAGCAAAGTCGTGGATCCCAGAGAACAGATCCCAGAGAGCGGATCCCAGCGCCCCCGTTTCTCCGTCGTCTTGGGAGGGGGGAGTGCCGTGACCCACGGTTTGCCCAAGGGCCACTCCCAGTGGTGCTCAGGGGACTGTGCGGGCTGGTGGTCGAACCTGGGATGTCCGCACGCAGAGCCCGGGCCTCGGCACTTTGAACCCATCAGCTGCTCTTCCCGTGTTGAGATTCCCAGGGGTCAGGATGTTGGTCCGCAGCAGAGAGCGCGCTCGGAAACCCTGAAGCCTGTCACCGCTTGGGCTTCCTCCCCCTCCCTGGAAGAGAGGGTCTTGTGTGAAGCCTCATTGATCAGGTTTTCTTGTTTTCTGTTTCTGATGTCACATCTTAGAAGTCTTTGTCACAAATGCTTTCTCCAATGTTTTATGTGTGTGTGTGTGTCAGTGCAA